GAGGGTGGACAGGGCCCGCCCACAGCCTCAGCCTGGAGCCCGGTAAGGGTGTGCACACTCGTGCACGCTCAGCCGGCCTCTCTGCACACTCGTGCACGCTCAGCAGGCCTGTCTGCACACTCATCTACGCCGTGCCCTTCCACAAACAGGTGCTCCTTGCACTCTTCCGGGACACTGCCCCCAGCCCAAAGTTCTGCACACACAGCTTGGAGCTGGGGCTGAAGGGTCCCCAGTAGGGCAACAGGTGAGGAAGTATTGTCCTGCACGCTCGTGAGTGCAGGATCACACAATGACAGGCAAGGGTGCAGAGGCTGTAGCATGCATGTCTTATCTAGCTGCTTTGCTGCTCTGCGATGCTCACAGACTTTTTGTGACATGCATTCACAGTAGACTTGTTGTGCCCCGACACACACCCCGACCCCAGAAAGCATTAGCCAAGATGTGTGCCAAGGTTGTGGAGACAGAGACAGACGTCCCCTCCTGCCTCCTGGGTGAGCACGGTCATGGCAGTGTTTGGAGAAAGAGCCACCTGGCAGGTCTCTTTTCTGGTTTTTGCTGATCCTCTGCTGGGGCTCTTGCCATTGTCCCCATTTACCCAGGAGGACACTGTGTAGTAGGTTAAGTAAAGTGGCCAGGGAGCCCAGCTGGTGAGTTACAGGCATTCACCTTTGTTTAATTGTAGCTTAATTTGTTGTTTGTCTTTAGACAGGGCTTCACTTTGTAGTACCGGCTGGCCTGGAACTCAGTATGAATCAGTAAGCAGACCAGGTTGGCCTTGAATTCACTTGCCTCTGCTTCCTAAAAGACGAAACTAAAGGCATGGGCCACCACCCCGCCTTTATTTTTTTAACTTTACATTTGTATCAGGAATTTTTATTGTTTCTTTCACTCCATTTCTTCTCTCCTCTTCCTAACTTTACCACCCAAACCTGCTTCCCAACAAGTCCCACCCCCTTCCAGGTGATTTTTGTTTGTTTTGAGGCACCAAGTTTAATTTTAAATAAGGACTTTAAACTTACATTTCCTCTACAGAGAAAACAAAACAAAACCCCCAAAACCTTTTCCCTGACGTCCAAAGTGAGTATTCAGGCAATTTGATTCATGTTTATGGATGCCTAGAATAAGTGTATCATTAATATTGTTTTATCTCTATTCCTTTGCAGTATGTTGTGTATGCAAATGTGTAACATTATGGCATCCTATAATTTAGCATTGGCCTCTAGTAATTTATGTCCCGAAAACAAAGAGATTATAATGTCTCTGCCATTGTGATCTGTGGCCTTTATTCCATGAAAAACATTCAGGAAAACTGTAAGAAAAGACCCCAGAGAAAAATATTGGAATTTTTTATTTTATTTGTACAAATGTTTTACCTACATGTACATATTATGTGTGAAACCTTTCTGTACCCAGATAAGGCTCTCTATCAACACAGTAATCCAAATCAGACCAAATCAAACCAAATTAGAAAAGGCCCAGGTTTAGTGGATAAAATGCTCCCAGATGATTTCCCAGCCTCCCCAAAGAGGAGATGAAAAAGAGACAGGAAAACCACGAGTCTGTTTTCTGGGACAGGGGAGGACATTTTAAATACCTGAGGGGGTGGTCTTGAGCATCTCTGTGGGAGGAGTCCTGTTTGGCATGCTTTCTGGAGTAAAGCAGGGTTTGGGGAGAGAGAATGGGGAAGGGGTATTGAGGTAGAGCTTCCACCAGAACATTCCAGAGTCTGGGTATATGGATGCCAGGGGCTGAGGTGGAGCTTGCATCAGAACAATGTATACAACATGCATGCAGTACCTGAAGAGGCCAGAAAAGGGCATCAGATCCCCCTGGAACTGGAGTTACAGATGGTTGTGAACCCCCATGTGAGTGCTGGGAATCAAACCCAGGTTCTCTTGTAAGAGAAGTAAGTGCTCTTCACCACTGAGCCATCTCCCCAGTCCCCATATCAGTCATGTTTGTTAAATAAAACAGTAGGGAGAGAACTTTGGGCATCTTTGCTCCAAACTCTCCTCGAGGTTACCCACACAGAGACCTTTTAAAGCACATGTAGCACTGACCTCTCGATTGTTAGACTTTGGACTTGCTTGGCAGTCAAAGAGAAGCTCAGCTATGCTTAGGAGGTGGGCAGGGATAGAACTGGGGTGCTCTCGAGGAGTCTTGAAGCTTAGTTTGTTCTTTGTCATGTTCTTGATGGACAGAGTGGTTGTGTGGTCCTCCAGGAAGTAAGCTCAGACATCATATCATATTTTCATGATATGATCAGATTCTGTCATAGAAGTTCATTATGCTGCAAGCACAAGCGGAAGAGAACAGGAGTTGACACATACCTGGCCAGTGTGTCTCCTTTGCCCTTCAGAAGCCTCAGGGTAGCAGGGTTCTTCTTGTCCCTATAAACGTCGTGGCTGTCTCTCTGACTGTGATTGCTGTTTACAGTACAGACCCAAGAGTATTTCCAAGGCTTCATCCATATAACTCCTTTAGCCATAAAAATATCAGTCATATCAAGTTACAGATTAGGCCAGACCTGTCAATCTAGGAACTCAGTGGTAGTGGTGCTGGGGTGAGGGGACTTTTGTGAGTTTGAGGTCAACCTGGGCTCCATAGTGAGCTCCGGTAACTCCAATAGTATTGGCTACTACTGTTTGAGACCCTGGTTTCTTGTTGTTTTGCTTTTGAAAAAAAAAAAAAAAACATTTGGGTGAGGTGGCAAACATCTTTAATTCCAGTAGTAGGAAGGCAAGGCAGGTGTGTTTCTGCGAATTCAAGTCCAACCAGGTCTATATAGTTAGTTCCAGGACAGTCAGTAATTTACACTGAGACCCTATCTCAGAATCAACACACACACACACACACACACACACACACACACACACA